GGGAGTTTCTGTTTGGGGTGATGAAAAGTGCTGGAATTAGGTAGTGGTGAAAGTTGTACAGCATTGAGAATGGGCTTAATGTCACTCTGTTGAACACTTTAAAATGGTAAATTTTGATTTGTATTTTAACACACACACTCAGTGCAGGGGCTAAGCTCTGAACATACACAGGTTGGAGAAAGCACTCAGGCAGACAAGGGAATGTGGAACCAGTGAGAAAGTGAATTATAAGAACACCTAGAGAAATGTGGAAGGGTTTTTAACTATTTCAGCCTAAAGCACTGGGGTTTGGGCCAAGGTTAACCAGATCTCTGGCACCTTTGATGGAGACCTGAAGAGAAAGGTGAACATTACTGAAGGCTTTTAAAATTTCAAAGTACAAACAACATCTCAATGATATGCAGTGTAGTAAAATCCAAACTGTATAGACATTTATAGATATACTTTTAATCTAAGTTTACAATATTGTTAAAATATGATTTTTAACAGTGTTATGATCTAAATGTTCATGTTTCCTCCGAATTTATATGTTAAAATACTAATCCCCTATTTAATGGTATTAAAATGTGGGACCTTAGGGTGATAATTAGGTCATGAGGGTGGACCCTTCATGGAGGGGATTAGCGCCCTTTTAAGAAGACACTTGGGGCTTCCCTGGTAGCTCACCTGGTAAATAATCTGGCTGTAATGCAGGAGACACTGATTCAGTTCCTGGTAAGGACGATCTACTGGAGAAGGGATAGGCTACTCACTCCAGTATTCATGGGCTTCCCTGGTGGTTCAACTGGTAAAGAATCCACCTGCAATGTAGGAGACCTGGGTTTGATCCCTGGGTTGGGAAGATCCCTGGAGAAGGGAACAGCTATCCACTCCAGTATTCTGTCCTGGAGAATTCCATGGACTGTATAGTCAATGGGGCTGCAGAGAGTCAGACACGACTGAGCTACTTTCACTTTCAAGAAAAGACTGAAGAGAGCTTGCTTCTTCCCTGTGTTCTTTGTGGTGTGAGGACACAATGAGAAGCGGCCATCTGCCAATTAAGCAGCAGTTCGGTCTTCTTAATTCTGGCCCTTAATCTGGCACTTTGATTTTAGGCTTCCATAACTGTGAGAAATGTGCTTTATCATTTCAGCCGCCCAGTCTGTGGTAATGTGTTATACAGCAGCCCAACAGACAAGACATAGAGTTGAGTGATGATCACTTTGTCTGCTAAGCATTATCAATTTGGGTATGCTTTTAGTCTGCTCCCTGGTGAAATTCTCAGATCAAAAGTCAGTTTTGTGAATATGTAAATATGACCTGATACCAGTCTTCATCACCACTGCTGCATCTTGAGTATGGATATCCAAATTTATTTAATAAGAATGGACCATCCCAGAATCCCTACGGAGGCAGCCAGGAGCAGAGGGAAGACAAGGGGCTTTGTCAGAGAACAGCTGCTTGCATTCTAACTCACTCACAACTCTGATGTGCATGACTGGGAATCAGGGCCAGCATCTCACCCTGATGAAGAGTGGAGAAATGCTAGCATTGTTCACCTGACTCCTTGTTATCACCCCCAATGTTTCTATCAGAATCCTAAGGGCCAGTTTATCCTGGATGTCTGGGTCGTGGTGGTGATACTCCTCTTATGAGGAAATCTCACAGCATTGCTTCAGAGCTTCATCTCCAAGTTTTTACTATGCCCTTTTTAACAAAGCCAGCCCTAGACTACTTCATACTACTCTCTCCAACAAATTTCTCATCCCCAACCTTGCAGCACTTTTTCTTTTTCCAATAGAATTTATAATCTTTTAACACAATAGGTAATTTATCTAATTTGTTATTTATTTTCTGTGTCCCCCCTCTAGCATATCAATTCCATGATGGTGATCCTTTGCTTGTGAGGAGTTGGAATCTTTCTTGGTGTAAACTTTACTGACCTTTTCCCAACTTAGAGATGACTTTACCTGTATAATGTCATCCTGCTATATGAGCTATAAGGGATACCATTCTCATTGTTCATCTCACCAAGGTCAGTCCTGTTAGAAACCCAGTTCAGAGATATCTGACTTCTGTGGAAATATTCTCAATAAAAATTAGCTTTTATTTTGCATGTTAATAATGTTGATTTTGAACTTCAGTGAAATAGTTGAAAGTACAGTATGTACAAATTTTCAACCACATTGGAAAAACTAGATAAAGATGTTGCCAATTCTTAAAATAGAGCTTGTTTGGCTAGTAAGAGTCACTCGTTTTTGAAGTTTCAGCTACATAATTTAACATTTAAATTTTAGCTTAAAAGTAATTCATGTGCTTATTATAGTTAGCATAGCTCTGTTCTAGAATAACCCTTGGGGGGGTGCATTTAGGAGGATACCCAGTAAGGCTTCACAGCCCACTGACATTTCCAAACATCTCCTTAAAAACATGAAGAGAATAGCTCCATTGTTATAGATGCAGACGGGTCAGTTCTGGTCCTGCTTAAAGGCTGAGGACTTTGATGATTTAGTATATTTTTTCACTCACAAAATTTACATGTTTCAAAGGATAATTTGACCTGAAAGAAGACTATGGAGATCAGGAAAAGTCTGGACTAATATAAGCCATTTGTGCTTCATCAGCTTTTTACCTAGCAAGGGATGTATTCAGGAGATTTTATAGTATGAAATTTACAGTTTTGATGTATGGTCCCAAAGTTCATTCATTCATTCATTTATCCCTCTCTCTTCTTCCCTTTCTCTCTCCCTCCATCATTCCATCATTTCTGAGCCTTTCTCCTGGGTCAGGCATTGTGTTGAGGGTAAGGGGAGGGGAGACAAGTCAGGTGGGGAGGACTAAGATGAATTGAACTTTGACTCTATGCTAGAGGAACTCACAGTGTAGTAACACCTAACTGTCATAGTAGGTAAGTTCATATATTGTACACTTTTACCACTTAGAGTCTGTAACAGCATTGTCAAGATCTGGTACAGTGGACAGAAACTTAGGATCAGTACATTAACAGTTTCACAATTGAAACATTATTTTCTTCAAAACAAAGTTTTAAATGTTTTCAGGCCTTTCTAATAAGGGCAATAAATCAGAGTCCAGGACAAGGGGTCACTGAGATTTTTCCTAGCCCCATGGCCATCCAAGTCTGAGGCATGAGAAAAGCACAACGCGATTCTTGGTCGAAGCCAGCAGTGTGCCTTGGAGGTGGGACAGTAGTCATGTTTGTTAAAATTCAGAACAAAATAAATACTTTGGTGGCAAACTTTGACTAGCGCGGCATGTTCTTTGTGCCTGGAAAGGAGGCCAAACCACTGTTGCCTTTGTTTGGTTGTTGACTGGCCCAAGGAAATAGACAAAAGCCAACAAAGACAGGAGATGACAGTAGAAGACTCCAGCTAATGTAGTAGGGTTTTTGTTTTTCAATGTTTTTTTGCTGCCAAAGTCCCAGGAGTGTCAGAATCTCATTGTCAGATAGAACATAAGATCATGAGTGCAGATAAGTGGATGGAGATACAGGGTTTAATCTAGGTTGAGGACCAGGAATACCACCAAGGCAATAACAGCATGGAAAAGCCAAGCCAGATGCGCTCTCCATAAATCATGATGTCTCTAGCTATTGTTTGCTTCTAGTTTTGCCACTGCTGGGTCTTGAGGTTATATTGGAAAAAGTGACCATTCCCACAATACTTTTACTGAAATGTAAACTGATGCTGATTGATTGTTGGTTTGATTGCTGGTATGATTGTTTTGGTGGTTGCTAGCTGCATGACTGGAAACTCGCCCAGACTAACTCACAGAATGGATGGCATCTCCCCAGGGATTTATACAAACTCAGGTTGTAGTCACATTGCCAGGCCTTTGGACACCCAGGAACTGTCCTGTAGCTGGGTCTCTTGAGTCTGCAAAATAGTTCAGCCCCTGTAAGGTCAATCAGGATGCCCGTGACTCTAGTGGCGGAATCTTGTCCTTTCCCTTTAGCATCAGGGCTTCACTCGATCAGCTCTAGCTGTCTGCCGTTGTCCACACTTAGCCACTCTAGCACTCTTTGTTCTGACTGCCTCTGAATGTCATTCTGCTTTTGCACCTGCTACCAACTGCTCCTCCTTTTTGCAAAGCTCTCAAGACAGAAGTGGTTCAGCCACACCATCCAATATGCGATTCCCTTCTTGGGCTGAGAGTGCTCCATGCCAGCTTGTGGGTTGCAGCCACTCCAGTCTCATCACCGATGGCTAGGGTGGTAGGTCATGTGCTGTAGAATGTGTGAAGGGACTATAAATATGGCAGCGTCCCTCAGAAAGAGCCAAACAAGAGGCAGGTGCTCAAGGTTCTTGCTGGGTACACTTCACTGCGACTGGAAGGCAACTGACCGTAGTCTTACACCCAGAGTGGGGTGAAGCGGGTCCCATACAGAGGGTCGGGGATGGCTGGGATGTCACACCCTAACATCCATAAATAGCATGAATTTTCCTATGATATCAGAGAATTCACACTAACACATCTCTTGTCTCCCTTCGCCTGCCTGAGCCTTCATCCGGATAATCCAGATGCTGTTAAGAGGAGGATGGGCAGCAAAGTGTGGTGAAGGGCAGTCTTTGAAATCATAATCTCGGCTTCTAATCCCAGCATTGTGACTTGCCTTTCTATGCCTGTGATGCTAGAAAACCCCTCTATGGCTCAGTTTTTGTCACTTGTAAAGTGGGTGTATAAATACCTGTCTCACGAAGTTGTACTGAGGCCAGAGGAGAGAAAGTATGAATTCGGAGTGTTCCAGGCTCACCACCACAGTGTAAAATACCTGGTCTGCTGCCCAGGGTCTCTCATGTCACCTGGGCAGACCCTTGCTGGTCTCTTCTTGTGCCGTTTTGGAGTCCCCAGTGTGGCCTGAGGTGGTCATGCACGCCGTCTAGGCTACTTCCTGTGAATCTGTAGTTCTTTTGACATGATAGTTATTTCAGTGTCTTTCTTCCAACCACCTGAGCAGCTTTCCACTGAACTCTTTCTCTCCAACCAAAAGGAAAATACCTTACCTGCTTTTGTCCACTTCCAGTTGGGAGATGGCCGGACCCACAGTGGTAGCAGCTTTTATCACCCACATAACCTCCTTGGAATGGGGCGATTGTGACAGCATAGTAGCTGTGCTTTAGTAGCACAGTTTATTTTTACTCCAAGATCCTTCCTTTCCAGGACTCCCAGATAGTCCCTCGAAGGCTGTTTTCCTTATATTTCTTCCTCATTCAATGGTGATTCACTTCCTCAAGTAACTTCTCTTGGCTCTCACCCTTCTTCATTACCCATGTCAGAATTCAAGCAATGGAAAGAGATGGATTTCTCTCTCATGTGGCTTGGAGAGAACCAAGGAGGTGCTCCATGCAGGCGGAGAGTCCTTGGCTCTGTTGTGCTCCCAGCCATTGGGTGATGCACCCATCATCATGGAATGGTGGCACTTTAACTTCACAGCCGGCGCCTGTAAATGCTCTGTTGCCTAGCTGCAGCCCCAGGGTACACATGTAAGATGCTTGGCCAGCCAGATATGTGGAATCTAGAAAAACAGTACTGATGAACCTACTGGCAGGGCAGAGATAAGAGACGGGGCAGAAATAGAGACACAGACATAGAGAACAGATTGTGGACACAGCGGGGGAAGGAGAGGTTGGGACGAATGGAGTGAGTAGCATGGACAGTATACACCGCCATGTGTAAAATAGATAGTGGGAAGCTGCTGCATAACACAAGGAGCTCAGCCTGGTCGTCTGTGACCTAGAGAGGATGAGGGTGGTGTGGGGGGAAGGCAGGAGGGAGGGGATGTGTGTATACTTAGAGCTGATTCATGCTGTTAATTTCTGTTGCAGAAATGCTTTGTCAATGGTTGTTACAATCATTATGTTTATTGATGCCCCAGGCCTGCTTTGAAATTATTGGCCTCTGGTTATATTTTTTTATCTTTTCTGTTTGTTTGTCCATCCATCCATCCATCCGTCTATCATCTACCTGTATTAGAATTCTCCTGGGAAACAGGAAGCAGAATACACATCATATATACATATGTTTCCTGTTTCACACTGCCCACCCCCACTGGGGAGGACAATCTGCTTTACTGAACCCACATATTGAAATGCTAATCTCATCAGGAAACACCCTCAGAGACACACCCAGAAATAATGTTTAATCTGGATACCCCAGGCAGAGTCAGGCTGACATAAAATTAACCATAATGCTATCTGATATGTGTGTATAGATATATATCTCCAGAATATATACACACACATTTTATATATATTTAATTACATGTATGTACATCTACATGAAATCAGTTTTTCTTGGAAATAACTGGCATTCCTGCTGGTTCCTCATGATATTTGGTATTTTCATAGCTTTTCTTTAATTAAAAAATTATTTCAAAAAATTTTATTGGAATGTAGTTGATTATTAATATTTTGGTGTACAGGAAAGTGAATATATACCCATTCTTTTGGATAGATGTGGATACATCCATATATATATGGATGTATATATATGTTTATACATGGATATGTACATATGGTATATACATATGTATTTGTATGTATATATATGGATGTATATATATATGTATATACATATATATGCATTCCTTTCAGATACTTTTCCCATATAGGTTATTAGAGAATATTGAATAGAATTCCCTGTGCTATACAGTAGGTCCTTATTATTTGTTCATTTTACATATGTGTGCCTGCTCAGTCACTCAGTCATATCCGACTCTTTGCGATCTCATGGACTATAGCCTTCCAGGCTCCTCTGTCCGTGGGATTTTACAGGCAAGAATACTGGAGTGGGTTGCCATTTCCTACTTCAGGGGATCTTCCCTACCCAGGGATTGAACCCACATCTCCTTCACTGACAGGCGAATTCTTTACCAGTGAGCCACAGTAGTGTGTATATGTTAATCCCAGTTTCCTAATTTATCGGCTCCCGCAGTGTTTCCCCTTTGGTAACCATAAGTTTGATTTTGAGATCTGTGAATCTGTTTCTGTTTTGCAAGTCAATTCATTTGTGTCATTTTTGTTAGATTCCACATATAAGCGATATCATGTGATGTTTTTCTTTGTCTGACTTATTTCACTTAGTATGATAATCTGTAGGTCCATCCATGTTGCTGCAAATGCCATTATTTTGTTGTGACTGAATAATATACACTGCATGAATGTACCACATCTTGATCCACTCGTCTGTCCCTGGACATTTAGGTTGTCTCCATGTCTTGGCTATTGTAAATAGTGCTGCAATGAACATTGGACTGCATGGACATCTTCAAACTATGGTTTTCTCTGGATATATGCCCAGGGGTGGGATTGCTGGATCATATGGTAGTTCTAGTTTTACTTTTTTAAGGTATTTCCATACTGTTCTCCATGATGGTTGTACCAATTTACATTTCCATCGACAGTGTAGGAGGGTTCTCTTTTCTCTACACCCTCTCCAGCATTCATTGTTTGTAGACTTCTTGATGATGGCTGCTATGACTGGTGTGAGGTGGTACCTCATTGTAGTTTTGATTTGCGTTTTGCTAATAATGAGTGATGTTGAGCATTTTTTTCATGTGCTTTCTGGCCACCTGTATGTCTTCTTTGGAAAAGGGTCTGTTTATATCTTCTGTTCATTTATTTATTTATTTATTTTTTAAAAATATCAAGCTGCATGAGCTGTTTGTATATTTGGGATGTTAATCCTCTATTGGTTGCATTGTTTGCAAATATTTTCTCCCATCCTATGGGTTGTCTTTTTTTTTTTTTAATGGTTTCCTTTGCTGTGCAAAAGCTTTTACATTTAATTAGGTCCCATTTGTTTATTTTCATTATTCTAGGTGAGTCAAAAAAAGATATTGCTGCAATTTATGTTTGGGAGTGTTCTGCCTGTTTTCCTCTAAGAGTTCCTCTAAGGGCTTCCTAGGTGCAGCAGTTGATAAAGAATCTGTCAGTGCAGGAAATGGAAGAGATGTGGGTTCAATCCTTGGGTTGGAAAGATCCCCTGAAGTAGGAGATGGTAATCCACTCCAGTATTCTTGCCTGGGAAATCCCATGGACAGAGGAGCCTAGTAGGTTATAGCCTGTGGGATCACAAAGAGTCAGACATGACTGAACATGCACACACACACGAGTTGTATAGTATCCAGCCTTACATTTAGTTCTTTAATTCATTTTGAGTTTATTTTTGTGTATAGTGTTAGGGATTGTTCTAAATAATTTCATTCTTTCACATCCATGTAGCTTCCAGTTTTTCCAGCATCACTTATTGAAGAGACTTGTCTTTTCTCCGTTGTATATTCTTGCCTTCTTTGTCGTAGATTAGGTGACTACAGGTGCATGGGTTTATCTTTGGACTTTCTGTACTGTTCCATTGATCTATATTTCTGTTTTTGTGCCGATATCATATTGTTTGATTACTGTAGCTTTGTACTGTCGTCTGAAGTTGGGGACCCTGATTCCTCTAGCTCTATTTTTCTTTCTCGATTGCTTTGACTATTCATGGTCTTTTATGTTTCCATACAAATTGTAATATTTTTTGTTCTAGTTCTGTGAAAAATGTCCCCAGTAATTAGATAGGGATTGCACTGAAACTGTGGATTGCTGTAGTATATCTGTAGATATCTGTGTATAGTCATTTCCACAATATTCATTCTTCCAATCCAAGAAAATGGCATATCTCTCCATCTATTTGTGTCATCTTTGATTTCCTTCATCAGCATCTTAAAGTTTTCTGTTGTTGAGTTGCTATTTGTGTCTGACTCTTTGTGACCCCATGGACTGCAGCATGCTAGACTTCCCTGTTCTTCACTATCTCCTGGAGTTTGTTCAAACTCCTGTCTGTTGAGTCAGTGATGCCATCCAGCCATCTCATCCTCTGTTGCCCCCTTCTTTTGCCTTCAGTCTTTCCTAGTATCATGGTGTTTTCCAATGAGTCAGCTCTTCATATCAGTTCAGTTCAGTTCAGTCACTCAGTCGTGTCCGACTCTTTGTGACTCCATGAACCTGTCCATCACCAGCTCCTGGAGTCCACCCAAACTCATGTCCATTGAGTCGGTGATGCCATCTAACCATCTCATCCTCTGTTGTCCCCTTCTCCTCTCACCCTCAGTCTTTCCCAGCATCAGGGTCTTTTCAAATGAGTCAGCTCTTCACATCAGGTGGCCAAAATATTGGAGCTTCAGCTTAAGAATCAGTCCTTTCAGTGAATATCCAGGGTTGATTTCCTTTAAGGTTATCTGTTTTGATCTCCTTGCTATTCAAGGCCTCTTAAGAGTCTTCTCCAGCACCAGAGTTCAAAAGCATCAATTCTTTGGTGCTCAGCCTTCTTTATGTTCCAACTCTCACATCTGTACATGACTACTGGAAAAACTATAGTTTTGACTGTATGGAACGTTGTCAGCAAAGTGATGTCTCCGGTCTTTAATATACTGTCTAGGTTTGTCATAGCTTTTCTTCCAAGGAGCAAGTGTCTTTTAATTTTGTGGCTGCAGTCACCAGTCCACAGTGGAGCCCACAAGAATAACGTCTGTCACTGTTTCCACTTTTTCCCATCTATTTGCCGTGAAGTGATGGGACTGGATGCCATAATCTTAGTTTTTTAAATGTTGAATTTTAAGCTAGCTTTTTCACTTTCCTCTTTCACCCTCAGCAAGAGGCTCTTTAGTTCCTTTTGCTTTCTGCCATTAGAGAGGTATCATCTGCATATCTGAGGTTGTTGATATTTCTCTGGGCAATCTTGATTCCAGCTTGTGAGCCATCCAGTCTGGCATTTAGTGTGATGTCCTCTGCATATAAATGAAATAAGCGGGGTGACATTATACAGCCTAGATGTACTCCTTTTCCAATTTTGAACCAGTTCATTGTTCCATGTCCAGTTCTAACTATTGCTTCTTGACCTGTACCTCCTTATGTAGTTATTTATCCCTAGGTATTTTATTCTTTTAGATGCAGTGGTAAATAGGATTTTTTCCTTAATTTATCTTTCTGATGTTTTGCTGTTACTATATAGGAGTGCAAGAGATTTCTGTGTGTTAATTTTATATTCTGTAAATTTATCAAAATCATTGATCAACTCTAGTATTTTTTGGTAGCATCTTTAGTATTTTCTATGTATAGTATAAAGCCATCTGCAAACTGTGACAGTTTTACTTCTTCTCTTCCGATTTGGGGTCCTTTTATTTCTTTTTGTTCTGATTTCTGTGCCTAGGACTTCGAAAACTATGTTGAATAAAAATGGCAGGAGTAGACATCCTTGTCCTGATCTTAGAGAAAATGCTTTCAGTTTTTCACCACTGAGAATGATGTTAAATGTGGGTTTGTCATATGTGGCCTTTATTATGGTTGAGGTTCCTCTCTGACCACTTTCTGGGGAGTTTTTTTTTATCATAAATAGGTATTGAATTTTGTCAAAAGATTCTCTGCATCTATTGAGATGATGATACAGCTTTTATTTTTCAGTTTGTTAATGTGGTATATCACAATGATTGACTTGTGTATAGTGAAGAATTCTTGCATCCCTGGAGAAATCCCACTTGATCATCATGTATGATCCTTTTAATGTGTTCTTGGATTTGATTTGCTAATATTTTGTTCAGAATTTTGTATCTATGTTAATCCATGATATTGGCCTGTAATTTTCTTTCTCTTTTTTTGTGATATCTTCATCTGGTTTTGGAATCAGAGTGATGGTGGCCTTATAGAATAAGCTTAGCAGTGTTTCTTCCTCTGCAATTTTTTGGAAGAGTTTTAGAAGGATAGATGTTATCTCTTCTTTAAATGTTTGATAGAATTCTCCTGTGAAGCCATCTGATCCTGAACTTTTGTTTGTTGTAAACGTTTATGTCACAGTTTCAATTGGTTGGTTTGTTCATGTTTTCTGTTTCTAATTCAGTCTGGGAAGGTTGTACATTTCTAAGAATTTGTCTGTCTCTTCTGGGTCATTCATTTTATTGGCATATATGTGCTTGTAGTTGTATCTTATGATCCTTTGTATTTCTGTGGTGTCAGCTGTAACTTCTTCATTTCTAATTCTATTGATTTGAGCCCTCTGCCATTTTTTCCTGATGAGTCTGGCTGAACGTATGCCAATTTTGTTTATCTTTTCAAAGAACTAGCTTTTAGTTTCATTGATCTTTTCTATTGTTTTTTCGTCTCTATTTCATTTATTTATGCTCTGATCTTTATGATTTCTTTCCTTCTATTAAATTTGGGTTTTGCTTATTCTTTCTTCTCTAGTTGCTTTAGGTGTAAGGTTTGGTTGTTTAAGATGTAAGATTGTATTGCTGTAAAATTTCATCTTAGAAGTGCTTTTGCTGCTTCCAGTAGGTTTGGATCATTGTACATTCACTTTCATTTGTCTCTTCAGTATTTTTTTATTTTCTCTTTGATTTCTTCAGGGACCCATTGGTTGTTTAGTAACATATCATTTAGTCCCCACTGTGTTGTTGTGCTTTCTCAGTCATGGCTGACTCTTTGAGACCCCATGGAGGCAGGCCACCAGGCTCCTCTGTCTATGGAATTCTCCAGGCAAGAATACTGGAGTGGGTTGCCATTTCCTTCTCCAGGGGATCTTCCTGATGCAAGGATCGAACCTACATCTCTAGTGTCTCCTGCATTGGCAAGTAGATTTTTACCACTGTACCACTTGGGAAGTCTTTTAGTCTCCATGTTTATGGTGGTTTTTTTTTTTTTTTTAAACATTCCCCCCATCCCCTATAATTTACTTCTAATCTTATAGCTTTGTGGTTGGAAAAGATGCTTGATATGATTTCAGTTTTCTTAAATTTACTGAGGCTTGATTTGTGCCCCAAGATGTGATCTATCCTAGAGAATGCTTCATGTATACTTGAGAAGAAAGTGTATCTGCTGCTTTCAGATGAAATATTCTATAAATGCCATCTGATCTAATGTGTCATTTAAGGCCTGTGTTTCCTGACTGGTGTATTTCATGGCTTCCTAGGTGGTCTATATTAAGCTTTTATTAAGAAAAAAGACATTTCTTAAGGAAGAGTTAAGTGAGAGATCTTCATCATTTATTTTGTGTGTGCATGTGTGTAGCTGATTTGATTTCTTCTGATGGAGATCTTAAAATTAACAATGGCAGAACTTTTCCACGGCATTTGGATTTCCCTGTTTCTGTTCTCCTTTATATCCAGTGCATATTCAGTGAATATCTCCACCAAAACTTACAGTGAGTGAAATGCTGAGCCCGCTGTGGTCTCTCTGGCTGTTCACAACCACAAGACCTATTTCTTTAGGTACTTGGGGCACAAGAGAAAAAAAAAAAGCCAGCAAAAGGACGTTGGGCTGCAATCTGATGCCTGAGTTTTCCCGTTCTGACAAAACCTTCCTAGGGTTTGCCTCCTTGTGGCGAATGCCTTTCATCTTGGAGAATGCCAGCAGACCTCTTTATTACTTGAATGTGGTGGATGCTGTTCTTCATGTATACCCATGCTACTCTACAGAGGAGATGCTCAGTGCATGTGACTCACAAACATTGTGTCAGGATCCAGGGCGTCTTCAAAAGTGGACTTACGGAGAATTAATGAGGCTTCTCTCTTGAGGAAGCCTTCTGCTTATGTGTTCGCCAGCAGTTCTCAGATTACTTGCTCTCTGATGACTGACTGATAAGTGGTTCCTTTCTAGTCAGGTGCTGAAGAAACACACTGTTAGAAGTTCGCCGTGCTCATGTGTCTAGAACATGGGGTTTCCTGAGGTTTCTTACAGTCTGGATCGGCTGTCCAAGGAGGAGACTGGCTGCCTCAGGAAGAAGGCGTATCCCTGGCCCTGAAGAGCCGCTGGCTCGGGTTGGGGTGGGCTGGTGCGGGCATAATAGAGGGGGTTATACTGGACGACCTTCAGTCCTAAGCTGCTTCTGTCTTAAAGTTCCAACAGTTTTTATTAGCAGTGGCTCCCAAACCTGATGCTCTCAATTTACTTATTAGCATCCTTTCTTTCTTTCTGTTAAAATGAAATCGTTTCATTGTAATTGTTGAAAAGAAGATGTGCAGTCTTGATGGGCAGAGATGAGGTCTGCCTGAGGTCTGCTGATGAAACGCTATAGCTCCTAGGGATGTGGGAGTTAGAAGGTGAATTCGATAGGAATATTTAAAAGCAGTTGGAAAAAGCTTCTTTAATTTTGCTTAACCTATGCATCTATTTTCTGGATATATTTGGGGGTAAATCTTATCAACTGTGGAGTTCCCTATTGAAATGATAAGGTGGGGTTTTTGAGGAGGCAGAGCAAGGAAACAGAACATCAACTGGGAAGGGCCTTTGCGTAACTAGGACGGAGGTCAAAGGTCTCCTTGAGGTGGGAGCTGATTTCTACATTTTGTAAACTATTATCCTTATTTTTACCAACTTCAAATTCAAAGTGGCCCCTTTCACTCTCACCTTTGGATGGCTTCCCTTCTAAACACAAGTGGTTTATTAGAAACCTGAGCACGAGGCGCTCTGGAGCCAGAGGATACTTTCTGGGGCTGGATCTTGATGTCAGCATCAGACCTGGGGCCACCAAACATTTCTGTGAATTCAAGGCGCCTGAATGCCAAGGCTTGTGAGGCTGAAGCCTGGTCTTTGTTGAGATGCAAGAGCAGCCTCTTGATGTCATGGCAGGACTCAGAGCCCATGCCAAGGCAGATTCATGGGGTGAAGACACTGGCAGGTTTGCCTCGTGGGCAGCCAGGAGAGCGGTGACTGCTGGCATGCTTTAGCCACCCACAGACCACGCCGGGGGACACGTCAGACACTGGGCCAGGAGGCAAGCAGGGCGAATCACAGATGACACCTGAGGAACAAGAAAATTGGTTGACTTACTTCCTTCCCTTCCTGTTCCTGCAGTGTGGGGACAACTTTGGGACATTTTGTGGTTCTTCAAGGAGCTCTTTGAACTGCTGCCTACAGATAGGCTGGTGAGGGTCTTGCCTTCCTCACTGGAGGAACAGGATTGTGTACACAGAGGAGAGCTGGACCTTTGACACTTAACTTTTAGCAGCTGGGAGAGGTGCAGAATGGGGCAGACAGCCTTGCTTTGCTGTGTACAGAATCTGGCTGCTACACCCGAGGGCTTGTGTCTCAGCCTCAGCAGCCTTCTTGAGCAGCAGAGCGACCCCAGAGTCTTCAGGAAGGCCTCGGGCATGTCCCCGATGGAACCACATGGAGCCCAAAGGTTGCAGAGTTGAGGGCTTGGCTCCCAGGTTCTTGTCTGTGAGAACCACTCCCAAGACGCTCATAGCACCTTGTGGCAGGAAAGATTCTGCTACAGGGGTTAGAAGCCCCCGAGTGGATCGTAGAGCCCTGCCCTCGAGAAACTTAGGTCATGGGACTTAGTTTTAACTGACACGCACTGAACTTCACTAGCAGTTCCATGGCTTGTGTCATTTAATCTGCACAACAACATGATAAGGTTGAAAAATTATTTCCCTTTTGTAGAGGGTAGGAGATTGAAGTTTACAGAAATTAAGGAGCCTGCCTGGGCTCAGATGTAAGAAGAGAGAAGGCTGGGATTAAATTCAGGAAGTCTGGCTCCAATGCAGTTATAGAGTTAATATATTTTTAATATAGACATTAGGATCAACCTGTGTTGTATTGAATGGCTGTTCTTGATTTTTCACAAGTGGCAAGGTATGGTTAAAAACAGCTGTTCCTTCCTATACAAAGTATTCTATGACAAAGCCAACAATACTGTCTTCCCTTGATTCTTATCCAGGGTATCCCAATTTCAGGAGTGACAGAAAAGACTGCACGTTAGATGGTACTTTCAAGTCAAGGAGGCTCAGGAAGGAGAATTTTAAGAAGGGAACAGACAACAATGTTAAATACAATTGACAGAGGAAGTATTAATAAAATGAGAACTTATAAAATCCTATGAGATTTGCAACGAGACTTTGTAAGCTGAATCCATCTACTGTCCCCTGGTATACCACAGGTCTCCCCCCAGTTTTAATGAAATACATAATACACATATGGTACTAAATTCAAAATATATCAAAGGCAGACAGTGAAAAGCCCCTAGGTCTCCCTCCCATTCCTGTACCCTAGCAACCGTTTCCAGGAAGCAGACACTATTATTCATACCAATTTACTGTGTATCCTTCCTGAGCTGCTGTATGCACACATAACATGTAAGTGTACATACTTCCTTCCTACACACGGAGAAACTACAGTGTTCTGCGCATTTAAGTCTTTGTTTATGGCTGTGCCAGGTCTTGGTTGCCGTGGGTTTTCTCTAGTTGGGGCGAGTCAGGGGCTGCTCTGGGCTGCAGTGCGGGGGTTCCCATTGCAGCGGCTTCTCTCGTGGAAAGCACGGGCTCTGGGTGCTCAGGCGTCAGTACTTAGAGCACTTGGGCTCAGCGGTTGTGGGGCATAGTCTCAGCTGCTCTGCGTCATGTGGAGTCTTCCTGACCGGGGACCAAAGCCACGTCCCCTGCGTTGGCGGGCAGTCTTAACCCGCCAGAGGTGGGCTTCTTCCTGCTTGTTTTCTGCAGCTACACAGGGTTCCACAGCGCGGTGTGTTCTAACTTATTTAATGAAGGTATGTTTTCAGCTGGCCCTGAAAAAGCAGCAATATTTAAGGAAGATACGGGGGAGGGTTTTCCCTTTCCAGGACAGAAAGGCAACTATCTGGAGGAAGTAGACAGAGCTGAGGGCCATTCAAGTGCTAAGGGATGCCTGTGAAAAGTGAAAGTGTCTGTTAGTTGCTCAGTCATGTCTGAAGCTGACTCTTTGCGGTCCCATGGACTGCAGCCTGCCGGGCTCCTCCGTCCATGGGATTCTCCAGGCAGGAATACTGGAGTGGGTTGCCATTCCCTTCTCCAGGGGAGCTTCCTGACCCAGGGATCAAACCCGGGTCTCCCACACTGCAGGCAGATTCTGAGCCACCAGGGAAGCCGTGTAGTAGGTCTAATTGAACCCAACAAGAGCTAGCTTACTCCTGAGAGGTTTCCTTACAACCTACCACCCTGCAGTACGATTTAGAAACTTCATTTCTGAAAATGGTATTATCTCTCCTTAAACACTGGCTAGGAGAGGTCAAGACATTGTCTCCAAACTTTGGGGAGATGATGGAAGTTACAGTTCGTCTCTTTGACTTTGTAACTCTAGCATCCCTAGAGTGTTCTGCACATAAGAGGCTCTTAATAAGTGTTTGCTTACTTGAATGAATGAGGGCACATGGCCACATTGGGGTTTTGAAATAGAGTCAGTGAATGAAGGTTTGTGACTAGAATCTGTAGCCATCTATCACCTAATCTTCCATCAGACATTTACTCTAAGTACCAGCTTCCGCTACTCAGTCCTGGTCACTGAGCAAACATACAGTCGATCCTCCATATACACAGGCTCCGCATCTGCGAATTCAACCAATTGCAGATCAAAAATATTTAAAAAGAAATTCCAGAAAGTTCCAAGAAGCAAAACTTGATTTTGCTGCACACTGGCAACTATTTATATGGCAGTTATATTAGGTATTGTAAGTATTCTGGAGATGATTTTAAGTATAGGAGAGGATATATATAGGTTATATGTAAACAATACACCATTTTATTTATATAAGGAGCTGGAGCATTCATGTTTTCGGTGTCTGGCGGAGGGGGGTGGGTCCTGGAGTCAATCCCTCATGGATACCAAGAGACAACCATACCTAGACGGGTCATCAGGCTGAAATAACTTGGTAGAAGTATCTGAGTATCTCCAACCTCTATGTCCTCTAATTTCTAATATTCTCTAATTTCTCATCTCAAAAGGAAAAGCTTGTAGACTCAGATGTGACCAGTATAAATTCCAACACTTACTCATTGAATGACCTGGGACAGTAGCTGAACTCTGAACTTATTCCCTCATCTGCAAAGCTGGAATAGTATGACCTATTTTCTTAGGGGTTTTATGAGGGTTAAATGAGCTTATACTTAAAACACTTAACAAAGTTCTGATAACAGTCTAAAGCTGTTAATTTCCTCCTCTTTGCTCTTTTGTCTCTCATAAGGTATGACCCATGCAATTGACCATTGCTGATTTTTAGTATAGGTTAACTTACCAGTAAACTGGAATACAGGTTTATAAATCATTTTTTCTCTAAGTTTGGTTGTAATGTTAGAATATTAATGATGGTAGGGCACTTGAAGATTGTCTAATCCAAGTTTTTTTTTTTTAAACAGAGGATATATGATCAGAAATCCATTTGTATGTAAACTGCATAATGTAAAATAATTACTCACAGAATTAAAATATTTTAGCAACACAAAAAGTATTCCATAAACAGTTTAATAAATTTATTCTCACAAAGCATCACAGTTCTAGGTCTAGTATAGGTTAACTAGTCAAACATGAAATTCAATGAGAATTCTTATATCTTAGCGGACTGTGGAGTTTTGGACTGCAGCATGTATTCTGCAGGCACATCTCAATCCTGAATCTACACTCACATTACTAGTAGGTGTCAGTGTTAGTTTTAGCAGTTCTATGAAAGAGGATGTGTTTTCTTAGAATTGGTTCAGTTCAGTTCAGTCGCTCAGTCGTGTCCAACTCTTTGCGACCCCATGAATCGCAGCACGCCAGGCCTCCCTGTCCATCACCAACTCCTGGAGTTTACTCAAACTCAGGTCCATTGAGTTGGTGATGTCATCCAGCCATCTCATCCTCTGTCGTCCCCTTCTCCTCCTGCCCCCAATCCCTCCCAGCATCAGGGTCTTTTCCAATGAGTCAACTCTTC